AGTGAGAGCGAGAGCACAAGCAAGGGGAGTGGCAGACAGAGGAAGAAGGAGAAGCAGGCTCTCTGCTAAGCAAGGAGCCCAATCCCAGGGGCCTGAGATCATGACCTGTGCCGAAGGCAGACGCTTAAGCCACCCAGGCACCCGAGCATGCGACTCTTAATCTCGGGGTTGTGAGTTCGAGCCCCACATTAGGTGTAGAGATTACTTGAATTAATAAAGAAATCTTTAAAAAAAAAAAAAAGGCAAGAAAATGGTGTCTCTTCTGAGGATATCAGTGAGGGAAAAGTCACCCATTTTGGAAAAATAAAAAGATACCCTTCCTCTAGGTTAGAAGCAGCCCAGTACCAGGGCACATAACTTGAGCAGCAGAGCTTGGGCTGGATTTTAGCCCTAACCAGGTTAGATCCTCTTGTGCAGTGAACAACCTATACAACTGTACATGGTGGTACCAAAGGCTACTGTAGGCTCTTGATCAAAATAGGACCAAGAAGAGAGCAGAGAATTGGCAGGGCTCAGGGGTGTCTGTTCACAAGGGCCCCATAGTTCCCCCTTGCTTCCATTTGTTCCCAGAGACGAGGGCTGGGATGCTCCTTGCCCATGGCCACCCCATGCTGTGCCTCCTCACTGTCTGTGTTTTCCTCTCTGGCGGGGCGCGGGGCGGCCCCTAGGTGTCCAGCCACATACAGGTTCTAGCTCGGAAGAAGGTGCGGGAGTACCAGGTTGGCATCAAGGTACGTTGGGCGCCTGACTAGGGCCTCCAGTCCCTCCTCGGCGCCTCCACCGCTCTCTGCACGGCTCAGGCCTCTGCCGCGGCCACCTCTTTGGCCCCACTGTGCCTCTTTTCTGGCTGAAGCTCTGTTCTTGCCTCTTCTGCCCTTTCTGCTCTTTTTCTCTCTTTCTCTCTCTTTCTACAGGTCTCTAGCCACTTGCAGGTTCTAGCCAGGCGGAAATCTCGAGAGATTCAGTCCAAGCTGAAGGTAGGGGGTCCCCTGCCACTTGGCCTGGCCCTGCTGTTTTCTGAGCGCAGGGCAGAGAGGTGGCTAAAGGGCTGTGGTGGGGTGGAGGGTGTCTCAAACACAAAGAGCAGCATGAAGCCCAAAGGCCACTTCGGGCTACAGAGGGCCACAGCCCCTGTAGACTAAGCAGAAGCCCAGGGGGACAGCCAGCCCTACAGTGAGGGAGAGGAAGACCATCTGGGGGCCACTAGGGCCCACCTCTCTTCTTCTTCCTTTTCCTTTTTCTCCTTCCTCCTGATTGCTGCTTGTTAATTGCACGGGGCCTTCAGATGGGCAGGGAGGAGACATGGGCGCATCGGCTGGCAGACTTATGGTGGTGGGCCTGGCTGTCCCTTGCACTGGACGCCCAATCCTGGCCGCTCCGCAGCTGAGGCTCTCAGAGCATGGGGCTCAGGGCCCCTGTAGGCCATGTTTTCTACCTGCTTCCCGGCTGCGCAGCAGACTGGGCCTCCCGCTCCGGGCCCTTGTGCCTATATCACAGCTCCAGAGGACGCGGACAGATCCCAGGGGCGACAGCATGGTCCACCCTCTAGGTCTCCAGCCTGCCCTCCCTCATCCTGCCCTTTGCAGGGCACCCCCAGCTAGCAAGCCTTCCTCCCCCTGGGTAGCAGTGGGGTTGGGGGAGCGTCCACAGCTGCCTCTGAGCTCCCCTGGGTTCCTCAGACCTGAGAGCCAGGTGGCTGTTGAGTGGAGGGGGGTGAGAGGGCGTGTCCCCACCCTGCATGGACCTCACGTGTGCCTCTTCTAATCTACCTTCCCTCTCCTTCACAGGCCATGAACCTGGTAAGTAGCCTGCCCCTCCCTCCCCTGGGGGACGATGTGGGAGGGGGAGAACATCTAACACAGGATTTCCAAATTATGAATTGTGAAATTAATTTAATAGGTTGGCAACCGACATTGTTTAAAAATGAGATGTAGTGGTTCTCAAACTTGAGCATGCATCAGAATCGCCGGGAGGGCTGGTGAAGACAGATTTCTGGGCTTCACCCCCAGAGTTTCTGAATCAGTAGGTCTGGGCTGGGGCCCGAGACTTTGCATTTCTAACAAGCTTCCAGTGATGGTGGTGCCATTGGTCCACGGACCATACTTTGAGAACCACTGATGAAACAGACTAGGAAATAGGAGAGTGCATGCCACACAACATGAGGGGAAGTGCTCAGGTATATACTGGGTTATGGAATAAAATAAAATAATTTCTTACCGTGGACCGGACTCAGAGGAGTGAGGTCCTCTTAGGAGACAGGCCCAGGCAGGGGCTGAGACTCTCCTGAGCCCACACAACAGAGCCCCGAGGGCCTGGAGGGGCCCCTAGGCGAGGCAAGCCCCCGCCCGGTCTCTGACCTGGCCCGTCCCCACGCGGCCTCTCCCCTCCCCAGGACCAGGTCTCCAAGGACAAAGCCCTCCAGAGCATGGCATCCATGTCGTCCGCCCAGATCGTCTCCGCCAGCGTCCTACAGAACAAGTTCAGCCCGCCCTCCCCTCTGCCCCAAGGCGTTTTCTCCACTTCCTCACGGGTATGGGGGCGCTGAGGTGAGGGAGTGCCTTCGGGGCTGGGCGGTGGCGGGGTGGTGGATGCTGAGGGGCCGCCGGGCTTTGTCCCCTCCCTGCAGTTCTGGAGCAGCCCCCCTCTCCTGGGACAGCAGCCTGGACCCTCTCAGGAGTGAGTATCGAGGTCCAGCCCTCTCCCACCCTGGGCCCTGGCGGCCGCTGGGACTCCCCCTATGAGCCGGGTGCCAGCAACAGCTGAGCCAAGTTTTAATTCAGAACTAGAGGATGGAGAGCACCAGTAAGAGAGCCGTGCGTCTGTCTTTTCATTCACTTGTTTGTTCATTCATCAGCCTCCTCATCCACTTGTCCGTCCGGCCGCCCTTCGGTTACTTCTCCCTCCGTCGCTGTCGGTGGGTCTCCGAGTCAGCACGTGGGGGAGTCAAGGCTGCTCGGTTCCCTGGGTCCTGAGAGGACTTGCATCCGCAGACACACCCTCAGTTTAATGAGCAGCTCTCAGGGTGGGGTTGAAAGGCCACATTAAGCGTGCATCTCAGTTGTGAGATGCAGCAGGGTTTCATAAAAGCTCAAATGTGGAGAAAACCCAAAGCGGGTGAGTTAGCTTGCAGGCGTGCATTTCTGGGCCTTTGCAGAAAGGCGGGGTGGCTCCGAGACCAGATGACACTCCCAGGTGACGGGACCAGGTGGAAGGTGGGGCTGGGGGGTGACCCTCTAACCAGGCTGTTCTGTCCGCAGCATCAAGCCCTTTGCACAGCCAGCCTACCCCATCCAGCCGCCCCTGCCGCCCACGCTCAGCAGTAAGTTCCCCACACGAGACCGCCGCCGCTGCCCCTCCGCCCCTCCACACCTGCACCTGCTCAGAAGAGCGGGCGCCCAAGGCTGTGCCTGTGTTTGGGAGGGAGAAGTGTGTGGCATCTGTAGGGGATTGGGAAGGCCACGAACAGGCCCCTTACCTTTCACAGTGTTGTACACACCAATGAAGATACTACATTGATATATATTTGTAAAATTCGTCTATGGAAATACACCAAAGGGCGCCTGGGTGGCTCAGTTGGTTAAGCGACTGCCTTCGGCTCAGGTCCTGATTCTGGAGTCCTGGGATCGAGTCCTGCATCGGGCTCCCTGCTCAGCAGGGAGTCTGCTTCTCCCTCTGACCTTCCCCCCTCTCATGCTCTTTCTCTCTCATTCTCTCTCTCAAATAAATAAATAAAATCTTTAAAAAAAAAAAAAAAAGAAATACACCAAAATCTTAACAGAGTATCACTCTGTCTAGGTATTGGGATTTGGGATAATTACTATTTTTCCCTTTTTACTCATCTGCATTTTCTGTTTGGACACACATTAATAGTGACATATAAACCACCACCCCCCATGTATGCTACTGGGCCCACCGTGCACAGTTGTGCAGGTTGCACACTGTGCAAGGAGGTGTGGCAGAGGGCTCAAAATCCAGCCTGTGTTCCTCCCCAAAAGGGGCGCCATTTTCTAGTTTGCCCAGTGGCTCAGTGCAGCTGGGGGGGCAGCTCCGTACGTAAGCATGCGCACACGCCCATGCAGATGAGGGTCCATCTCGCCCTCCCAGGTTACGAGCCCCTGACCCCGCTCCCCCCAGCTGCTGCCTCTGTGCCCGTGTGGCAGGACCGCACCATCGCCTCCTCCCGGCTGCGGCTCCTCGAGTATTCAGCCTTCATGGAGGTGCAGCGAGACCCTGACACGGTAACGTGCCTGGCGGTGGGGGGTGAGGGTTTGCGCGAGCCTGTGGTTCAGGGCCGCGGCTCAGGGGTCTGGGCGTGGGAAGCCCCGGGGCAGTCGTGTCCTGAGTGCTCCCCTGACCCCGTACTGGGCCCTCCCCACAGTACAGCAAACACCTATTTGTGCACATCGGCCAGACGAACCCCGCCTTCTCAGACCCGCCGCTGGAGGCCGTCGACGTGCGTCAGATCTACGACAAGTTCCCTGAGAAGAAGGGTGGACTGAAGGAACTCTATGAGAAGGGGCCCCCGAACGCCTTCTTCCTTGTCAAGTTCTGGGTGAGCTGCCCTCTGTGCTTCCAACAACCCCATCCCCAGCAAGCGCATTGCACCTGGGCCCACCCCGCCCACCGGGGACCCTATGGCCCGTGGGCAGGGTGCTGGGGATGGGTCCTGGGGCTAAACACGGACGTGGCGCGGCGGGAAGCCTCCCCCTGGCCTCTGCCTGCACCTGAGGCCACCCCGGCTCACCCCCCGCTCCAGGCCGACCTCAACAGCACCATCCAGGAGGGCCCCGGAGCCTTCTATGGGGTCAGCTCTCAGTACAGCTCAGCAGATAGCATGACCATCAGCGTCTCCACCAAGGTGTGCTCCTTTGGCAAGCAGGTGGTGGAGAAGGTAGAGGTGAGTGGGGGCCCAGGGTGGCAGGAGGGGCCGGGAGCAGGCACGTGGGGGTGACACCTTCCCCGCGGCTGTGCGCAGACGGAGTATGCCAGGCTGGAGAACGGGCGCTTCGTGTACCGCATCCACCGCTCCCCCATGTGCGAGTACATGATCAACTTCATCCACAAGCTGAAGCACCTGCCGGAGAAGTACATGATGAACAGCGTCCTGGAGAACTTCACCATCCTGCAGGTGGGGGGGGCAGCAGGGCACATGGGGGGCACGGGGCCTCAAAGTGGGGGTGGCCAGCCCCATGGCTCAGGTGAGGAGACTGCTATCCAGAAAGAAGGGTCTTCTCAGCCCCTGCCCCCCGCCCCCGTGGCCCTGTGCCGCCTAACCCCTTGCATCCTCCTACCTGGTCCCCAGGTGGTCACGAGCCGGGACTCCCAGGAGACCCTGCTTGTCATTGCTTTCGTCTTTGAAGTCTCCACCAGCGAGCATGGGGCCCAGCACCATGTCTACAAGCTCGTCAAAGACTAGGCCACCGTCGGCCCCCAGCACCAGGATCCAGGACAAGCATCTTTTCCACACACCTGCCTGGCCCCTCCCCCCCGCCCCCCGGAGGTCTGGACTGAGGACTCACCCGCCTGCCAGGCCTCAGGCCCAGGACCCAGGAGGCCTCCCCACCTACCCCCAGCACACACACTCCCTGCCACTGTTCTGCGCTTTAATTGTGGGAGAAGAGGAGGGCTCCGTGGTGGGGCAGCCTGCCCCGGACGCTGAACCATCACCCAGCTCTGCCCAGCCTCCAGTGAGCGGATCCGACCCCTTCGGGCTCAGGCATGTGTGGCCAGCAGGGGAGGGTAGAATGGAGATCGAGGAGGTGAGAGTGCAGAGGCCCCAGGAAGGAGAGTGTCGAGTTGGGGTTAGGGTGAGGAGGAGAGAGAGGGGCCCCCACTTTCTTGCACCTGTGGCGTGCCAGGCCTGGTGCTAGGCCCTGTGTGTGCCTGGCGCCGTTCTCAGACCGGGCAAGGCAAGCGTGGGTCTTGATGTCTCATGATGGGCTGAAACTCCGAGAAGTCGAGGGACCCAGCAAGGGGGGCGGAGTTGGAATTCTCATCCGGGGCTGCCTGTCCCCAGAGCCCAGGTATACACTGCCTCCCTGGAGTGGGGGGCCAGCCGCAGGGGGTGGGAGAGACGGTCTGTACTGGGGGCTGGGGCCAGCCAGGTTGGGGGCCTCCTCCCAGGGGAGCAGCTGCTTCTGACCAGGCAGGAAAAGAGGAGCAGCAGGTGCTTGGCACCTGTTAGGTGCCCTCTGTCAGCCCACAGTGCAGCCAGGGCCTCGGGAGCCCCTGTGCCAACCTCCTCCAAGCTGCTCCGGCCCACATCCGGGGCCTGAGCCCCTCAGCACCTTCCTGACAGGAGAAGGCCCCCAGGGTCAGGCTCCAAAATAGCTTGGAGGGTCAAGTAGGAAGATGGGAGTCCCAGCCTCTGGGCAGACCAGTGTCCCAGGGACAAGGGGTAGCAGAAGGATTTGATGTTTTCAAATGCCCAACACTTGGGTTTGGTGAGCCCTCGGTGGGCACCACTTCCTTACGTTTCTCTCCACCTCCAGTCTCCCAGGCCTGGAGTAGCAGCTCCCCAGAGCCAGTTCTGGGACTGAAGGTTCACCCTTCCCCTGCTGCTCCTCCCCAACAGCCAGAGCCCTCAGCCAGCTTGGCCTGTCTACCAGCCACCTCTGGGCATTGACGAGTTTCATATGAAGTACTGTGCCCCTTCCCTTCCGTACACCGCCTGCCCCTGAGCTTCCTGAAGGTCCTCACAGTTTGCATATTGCTCAGGCCACTTCCAAACCCAACCTAGGTTTTATAATGTATATTATATTTTTTTGTGTATTTTTTAAATCCAGCTGTGATGGGTTATATCATAAACGTGGCGCGGGGCTGGGGCAGGGGTCCTCAAGGCCCGGCTCCTGCTCCAAAAAAAAAAAAAAAAAAAAATTAAAGTTATTTGTTTGTGGGTTAGTTGTGTGACTAGCGTGTGGCAGACCTCTCTGGGCTGGATTAGCTTTGTGGGGGTCCTCCCGCTAGGTTAGGTCCTGATGTGTCACCCCACCCTCCCCCATCTCTGCTGGGGGGACCCACACCATACCCACTCAAAATAGGTATGACTCAAAGATCCCATAAAAGCTTTGCACACTCCCTTTCTCTGACCCCTTCCTGCCGTGAGTTGAGTGCTGAAATGTGCCCAGTGCTGGCCTAGGTTCAGTTGTTAAATTGTCTCTTTGAAATGACTTGCCCAAGGTCACACAACTACTGACACAGAGCCCCTCCTAGCTCCCCAGTCTTCATGATGGCTGCTACTGGTTCTCACTGTCCTATCCTCACTTGAGAGCAGAGAAGACAGCCTCAAGGAGGATGAGTGTTCTCCCAAGGGGATGGCTGCTAGGAGGGGAAACCAGATTCCAACCTGTTCTTGTCTGCCTGGGAGAGCCCTGCTCTCCTCTCTGAGCCGGCTTGTGCACATACCACAGGGACCACAGGAGGGGGAGGGAACCTGCGTTGTTTGAAGTTCAGATTTAAATGAGCGTCCTGTATTTTCATTTGCTACATCTGGCAACCCTACTCTAGAATCTACTGTCTTCTAGATCATTGATCCAAGTTTGCAGATGGGGAGACAAACTGAAGTTAAATGTTCTCTTCACCGAGCCAGTCACTGGCTACACCAAGATTTGAATCTGCTCAGCCCGACTCCCAAGTCCATGCACATGGTCGACAATTTAAATCATCAGGTAGCCTTTTGTCTTAGTCCACAACATTGGATAGACCCCAGGCTGTCACTTGCAGGATGGGGACGGTGCCTGGAGCCCCAGGCAGGTAGGTGGGGGTCCTGGGTCAGAAAGTGGTTTATGAAGGACCCACCGTGTGCCAGGCCTAAGGCTGGATGCAAAATCCAATCTCTGGGCTAACAGGTAATTCAGTCTGTTGGGTGCTTGAGGCATCATCACGTGCGTTGTTGCCTTCACTCTCCTGGAGTAAACAGCCTTCAGGTAATTTCTTTTAGAATCATGTAGGTCTCATGCAGAAAACTCAAGTGAAATATGACTGGCCTCCTAGCTTGTCTCCTGACCCCACTCCGCCCTGCCCCACTACTGCCCTCCCTCCCCAACGTAACAGAGCTAGAGGTCGGTGATGAGTAGTTTCAAGGTCCCAAAGTAAGGAAGGAACCAGAATAAGGTAAATCTTGTGTGCCCAAAGCCTAGGGCCCTCTCCTGGAAGTGGCTCTCCCCTGCTCTGGGTTCTGTGGGAAGCTCTAAGGAAGGGCCAAGATGGCTGGACCTCAAAGACCAGGACTGTAGTTCTGTCTTTCCTGCCCTGTGCCTGTTCTGATGTTCCCAGGGAAGAGGGAGGAATGCCATTTTGGTGGTCAACGCCACACTCCAGGCCTAGGCACCATTCTGAGGTTTCACGGGGGCTCTTTTTATTTCCCTGTAGCACAAATGCCTGAGAACTGGGGCTCTCCAGATAGCTGAACTCTGAATCCTAACTCAGGTGCACACTAAGCCTTAGACTAATCATCCCAGAGGCTGGGACTTGGTTAAACAGCCAACTTCATTCACAGTGGAATCAGTCGGCCTCCACACGTTTTCCCTTTGCTTTCCCTTCTCCTGCCTACTCCTCTTTCTTGTGGTGCTGTGGGCCTTGGGAGAGCGGGCACTGGGCTCTGCGGATTCCCCACAGCCCAGCAGAAAGCAGGGAGTCAGCATTTGCTTAATATAGTGGGTTTTTAAGGACTCCCACCCCAGGGCGTAAGGCTTGATAGAATGGGTCCGATTTAAATCCACGTGACTCAAATCAATAATCCAGGAAGACTCAAGTTCCCAAGTATTTCTAAAACGCCCCCTTGCCCTCCCGAGTTTCCAAAACTATTAAAAAATGTTTAATCCTTGGCTCATTTCAAACAGGAAGGCGTGACTAATTTTGAAGCCACCTTGTTCTCCCCATTCCTCAGCACCTAAACCCAACTGAGCCAGACAAGCAGATATTTGTGTGCTGGGGCTGGAACCCGTCTGTCTATAGCCACACGTGATTGCCATTTCACAACTGCTGTTTGAGCGCTTAGAGCCTGGCACCGCACAAAACACGTTAACGCTTTGAAAGTGGTCCTACTGTCTTAGGTGCCATCATCTGCGCTTTCAGGTGAGGAAACCGTTTTGAGAATACTCAACAGGCTCACAGGCCTCCTGAATGGAGAACTGGGATTCAAACTCAGGGAGTGGGAGGGGTTCTGCCCGCAGGCAATCACAGGGTGGCCTTCTTGCACCCACTGAACAGTTGAGCAGACATGGGAAGTGAGAAACCGCCTTTAAAACCCTTCGCTCCACAGCTACTGTCGGGACAGTGCGGCCGCTGGTGGAACAGAAACGTCTCTCCGGTCTCAGGCTCAGACCCCCTGCCCACCGAGGCCCTCAGGATTGGCTGCTAGCCATGCAGCTGGGGCCCAGCTTAGCGAACTTTGAGGACTTGAGGCTTCTGCCTCGTGGCTCTCAGCCTGAGAGCACACACTGTGAGGCTGGACAGATGCCATTTCTGATTACACTTAGTCCTCAAAATACCCTTTTGCCTTAGTTTTTCTTCTGATTACAAAGATCATAGAACTTCAGAAAATCCCAATCATTTTTCTCCCTGAGTTAAGCATGGCCAACATTCTGATATGGAAACTTCCAATCACTTTTACTCTGCATAAACTTTCTCCTTTCAATAAAATTGGGTCCCAACTAGTTTTATATGCCAGCTTTTTTCCCTCCCTGTCTGGAACATTGTCTGACAAGCATAGGTATTTTATCACTCCTTTCTAACGCTTTAATAGAACAGAGGAAGGAGCAAACTACATCTATTAACCCTGGAACCCAAACTCGACTCATTCCAAGATTAGGTTGTAACCATTTTACCTTTAAGCAAAATTACGAAGTTACTAACTTAAAATCAAATCACAGGTTTCCCATACCAAAACCCAACTTCCCAGTAATAGGTGCTGGAGGCAAGAACTCCCAATAGGGAAGAGGCACCTGGGTGGCTCGGTCTGCCTTTGGCTCGGGTCACGATCCCAGGGATCCCTGCATCAGCCTCCCTGCTCAGTGGGGAGTCTTCTTCTCCCTCTCCCCCTGCTCCTTCTCAAATAAAATCTAAAGAAAACAAAACAACCCCCCCCCCCCTCTACAAAAAAAAAAAAAAAACCCCCCCCCCCCCCCCCCGCAACAGGGAAGTGCCTCAGGTCAGGAAGGGGGCAGAACCCACCTGGGGACAAAGGGCCTGTAAGTTTCCACAGCCTAATTCTACCCATTTGCTAAACTCCCCTAGAAAACAGGGACAATTACATTATTTTACAGGTCTCCTACTTGTGTTTTCCTAAGCATCTCACAGAGTAAATTACTAGCCTGAATACAGAGTATTTAGGGTCAGACAAGCAAATCAGGGTTGTGCACCCCTCCCATCTTTTAGAATCTAGGAACCCAATGTTGTGATCCCTACCAAAAGCCCAAATGCACAATTCAGAGGGCTAAAACAAGAAGCCCATGAAAGAAATCATAGTTAGAGAGAGGCAACTTCAGGCCATAGATTAAGCATGCTGCTGAGAAAAGAGTCAATGTCCTCAAAATGTGAAGGTCCTACCCCTCCCTTTCCACTAGCAAGCAGTGGGAGCACTACAGGCTGGAGTCTTAGCCCAGATCTGCCCTTCTCAGGGTTCAGAAAAGCTTCAATCCTGGTTAGCAGCCCATTACATGTTATAAAGTATCCCAGAGATCTGAAGACCACATGGCTTTGAAGGTAGACAGAATGTACTTCCGGGTGTGCAGCACGGAGAACATGACCACCCGTCCGTGGGTGCCAGGAACTGCGTCACCAGCACAGTGCTATGGCATGCAGTGTCAGCTCACAAAGCACCTCCCTCTCCCAGTCACAGGCAGGCAGGTGAGGGCAGCACCAGGATTTATTGAACTGTGCGCCTTAGTACAGGCGCTGGGGCTTGCCCATGGTGCTCTTGATGTATAAAGCCCGGACGTTCTGCCAATTCTTCTTGAGCAAGGACACCAGGAAATTGACCGCCAAGTGGATGTTGTACACAAGCTCGTCATCCGTCATCTTCACGTGGCCAACAGCCACTGCCAGACACAGCACCTGCGGGAAGAGTGAGGTCAAAACAGGCTGACGGCTAGATGGAGAAGAATCCGAGTAGGCACATCTACAGGCCCATCCCTCCCCACCCCTCCAGTGACCCTACGAACGGTACTCTTGACCCCAGGCCAGGAAGACCAGGGCTATGTGAAAAACTTCAATTCTGCCCAGTGACTGTCACATGTCCTAAGTATCCACAGAAAGGCAAACCAGGGCTCCCATCTGGAGAATGGGGGTAAACTTCAGGACTGGTGGTGCCTACCACCACCACGGCTTAACTAAGCTATGCAACCCAGTCAGACCTCCTTACCTTCTTCATCTGGAATTTGATGGTGGACTTTACTTCATCCACTTTGGCCACCATGTTCTCATTGTGGGTCAGCAAGGAAGGGAACTTGCCAGC